TCAGGAGAAAGAGGGCTTTCCTGCCCACGCCTGGGCTATGTCCATGATGAAATTTCTGACCCCACATCTCTGTCTCAATCCCTGTTACAATGGATGGCACAGAGGACTTTGTAACCATCTGCTACATGGACCTGAGTCTATACTTGACTTTAGGAAAATAAGAATCTATTCATATCAGCAATCCAGCTGCAAATCATGATGTTGGCAAGCTGTCCCTTTTTCTTCAGAGCTGTCTGATCTTTGCCTCTCGGCCTCTAGTTTCCCCGTCTTAAGCCATTTCTTACAATTCTGCCTCATGCCCATAGCCACTTCCACGGAGCTCTAGTTCTTGTGTCCCCTCTTATCTAACAGTGAGATGGAATCCACATACTACATAACTCACCCTTTTAAAGTGCACAATCAATGGCTTTTAGTACATTCAGAGTTGTACAGGCATCACGATCAATTTTAGAACATTTTTAACATCCCCCAAAGAAACCCTGCACCTCTCAGCTGCCAATCCCCATTTACCCCTCCCTCTAGCCTAAGGCAACCACTAATCTACTTTTTGTCTCTGGATTTGCCTGTTCTAGATATTTCACATAACTGGAATCAGACAATAATGTAGCCTTTTGTGTCTGGCCTCTTTCACTTAGCATAATGTTTTCAAGGCTCGTCCATGTTATGGCATATATCAGAACTTCATTCCTTTTTGTGAGTGAACAATATTCCACTGCATGGATATACCACATTTTATTTTCCCATTCATTAGCTGATGGACATTTGGCCTGTTTCCACCTTTTGGCTACTGTGAGTAATGCCCTTATAAACATCTGTGTGCCAGTTCTCGTGTGGAGGACCTATGTTTTCATTTCTCTTAGTCACGTACCTAGGAGTGGAATTGATGGATCTTATGGTAATACTGTGTTTTTGAGGAATGGTCAGACTGTTTTCCAAAGTGGCTGCACCATTCTACAGTCCCACCAACAGTGTTGAGGGCCTCAATGTTTCCATCCTTCCATCTCTCTTTAAATTCTTTAATTAGGAGCCCCCAAATGGACACTGCAAAGGGTCATAAGAACCTGCCATTATCACCATATCCTGGCATTATGAATGCCACAGAGCTGACTCCCTTACTGCTTGGGATGCCCAACAAAGCTGAATATTTTGCTCTACATTGTGTCTGGTCACTATCCACTTCACTGAGTAGAGAATACACTGACCCCCACCATGGGTTTATTGTTCTAAATTCATTTTCACTTTGCAAATTAATCTCAGCAAATTAAGAGTTACCCATAAATAGCACGTAACTGTCCTTGTATGCAGGAGCCTGCCTGATTCCAGTCAAGTAATTTGCTGTGGTCCTTCCGTCCCTCCATCCCACGTGCAACGGAGAGGCACCTGCCTAGACCACATCTGTTTTGCCTTTCTCGCTCCTGATACCCACCCCTAAGAATGACCAGCTGATAAAATGTTCTGGAATTAGATAGTCATGACAGTGGCATAACTCTGTGACTGTACTAAAAACCACTGAATGGCAGATTTTAAAAGGGTGAATTATAAGTGTGTGAATTATTTCTCAATTTAAAAAAAGTAACATGATTTTAAAATATAACCACCCCACAATGTGTTAAATGTATACACTTAAACTTTTAAAATATTTTTTTCAAAAGATGATGTAAATCAGTGAGGTATTTGCTACTTTGAACATAACCAACTGCAACTTTATCCTCAGTCGAAACTATGAACCTATCTAAGACCAAAAGCCGAGAAGCAAGCCAGCTGAGTTTAGTTTACACCCAAAGCAATTTTAACAACTCTCCCCAACCCCCAGCAGAGCTGCAGGGGTCCTTTCACTGAGATCTCTGGGAGGGCAGGATTTCAATCAGTTTGCACCCTCCCCCATCAGCCACATTCCTCCTCCAAAAAGGTCCTACAGGCAGTGCTGGAGCTGTGACTGCAATTATTTTGCACCTGGAGAGGGTTTTGAAAACAGCAGCTCTTCACTACTTTCTGGGGGAAAGAAAAGTTTAACTAACAAATAGCAAAGAAACAACAACTGTTTGAAGTTACTAGAGCTCTCTGGGCTTTAAATTATTTTTATAAAAGCTGTGATGAAAACGTTTTAAAAGGCAGATGGAATCTGAAGAAAAGGAAACAGGCCCCAGGATGAGTGAGGGAGAATGAAGCCGACTTGGACTTAAGGATCAGAAATATGTGAAACATGTGGAAGGTAAACACCCAGGGAGGCACGGCTGGTGACCACAGCCCTAGTCCCAGTGGCTGGTGACAAGGGAAATGGTAATTGCTACTGTGTGACAAGAATAAAAATTATATCCTGGTTATGCCAGAAACAATGTAGGTACACTGCAGCTTTCAAAGTGGGCGTTCTTAAGTCAACTCGAAAAGAGAAAGGAATCACAGAATTGCTTTTCCATTTCTCTAACATACGCCATTTAAAAGTGAAAAGCGAATTGAAAGTAAAAGTACCTTTACAAGAACTAAATTTACTATGCCTCTGCCTGTATGCTCTTATTTGCTTTAAAGCAACTTTTTTTCCTCAAAAGGACTTAACCCATAGGAATAGTAAACTTTTGATAAGTGTCAAGTCTGATCCAGTCCGAACAACAAACGAGATGCTCAAATTTTCCAGACTCTTTGTTACCTGAAATGCAACCTAAAAATACAACCTAAAGATACAGGGCATGAGCATATGCACAAAACACAACATTTACGGAGCATCCACCATTCGCCAGGCGTTCTGCTATGCACCTTACACACGTTATCACGGCAAATCCTCAACCGGTCCTTACTCCCGGTTTAAAGATGGGGAGACCGAGGTTCAGCGATGTTACGTGGCTCATACGTGGTAGAAACTGGGACCAGAACCCAGTTCTGATCTGCCACTCAAGCCTCTGCTCTTGACACTTCTCTATATAGCTCCAGGATTAATCATTCACCCGGCTACGTGCAACATCATCCCCACATCGCCCTTGGCCATGGGACTGTCCACAACAGTATCCTGAGCTCTCTCTAGTCAACCAGAAGACAGGGATCTTTTAACCTCCTGGCTGCAATTCCACTTTCCGCCAAAAGAGGCAAAGGGGGGGAAACCGTACCCTTCACTTCGCGGTAAAACTTCAGAAAAGCGTTTTACCTTCGACGGCTGCGATCGCGACGGAGCGACAGGTGAGAAAGACCGGACGTCGGCTCCGGCAGACGTGCAGGCAGCGGGCCTTCGCTTCTGCCCGCAGAGACGGCGGCCCCGCACCACCTACATTACATTCTTCCGCCAGCACCGGGGAGAGAGTGCGGGGCATGGGCCCCCGAAGCGCGCACACACTTTGGGGCGTCGTGACCCCAGCGCTCCCCGCGAGAGGCCCTCGCCCCGGGAGTGAGCGCGCCCGGCGGACCTAAGCCCCGCGGCGCTGGTTACTGTTATGTTACTGTCACATCCCTGGTCCTGCCCCGGGGTCCCTGAGCCCGGAGCCCGATGGCCTTTCCCTCCCGATCAAGAGGACGCTGCACCGCCCAGGGCCGGCGCTGGCATGGGGACGGCGGGCATCGCGGGCACCTCCGCGCT